AGATACCAGCAACAGCTCTTGAGCTGTGCAAATGATTTATTTATTTATTATTTTTTTACTGGGGAGGCCATACTGGAAGGAAAAGGTATTTCAGCACAGGGTGAAATTGCTCTAGAAAAAACTAACTAGCTAACTAAATAAAATAACAGAACTAAAAGCACCACATCTGGTGTGGAAAGAAGTGGTTAATCCCTTTCCAGAGTTGTTTCAAGTATTTTTACCTAAAATAAATAAATAAATAAAATAAATGTGCAAAGCACTTGGAGGTCTCTGCCACTCTCCGAAGATGCTTTCCTGCCATTGCTGAGACTAAAGGGGAGAAGGAGAGCTAAAGATAAACCCATTAATGTTATATAAGGTGCTCAGAAATGCCTCTAAATAAATAAAGCTGCTGTAAATTGTACACGTGTACGTGTCAGGCAATTCGTCTGCAGTGCCCGAGTGCTCTTCCCTCCTTAGATGAGAGCGCTGCGGGAGAGCTGAGCAGTGCTGCAGGTGGCTGCGAGCAGCAGGTCACCCAGAGTAAATTCTCAGGAAATCCCCATGAAGCACTGAGATTTTACCATTTTACCTACATTTTACCTACAGCACTGTCCTCAAAGATGCCTGGGGGTTAGAGCTTGGTGGGGGGTTGTGAGAGCCAGTTGAAGCCTCTGTCCTTCTCAGTTGTTTGCTGCTGCAGCATGGGGAAGATGCTGAAGGTGGTTTTGCACCACCAAATCAAGGCAGAGAGATCTTTTTGCAGCACTGATGAATGAATCGTGATCGTGGCTCCCCACGTTGGGTGAACACCAAATGGCCATGACCCCACCAGCAGGACCTGCCTGCTGGAACCACTGCCCAGTGCACCAAAATAGCAAGTTGCAGGCGTGTAGAGCACTTGGCTTCCTTCCTAATGAGATCAGACAGTGGTGACTGCAACCTATCTCTTAATTTTGCAGCACTCCCTGTCTTGCCGATGATTGTTTTAAAATGGGACTTCATCAGCCAATATGCAAATTGATGTCAACAAACAAGTTGGTGTTTGAATTTTTATTTTATTTTTTTTTGAAGGAGCTTAAAGACAAATAAGAGACTTGAAGTTGCAATGAAGCTAGTGATGATTTCCTTCAGCAGAAGTACAAGAAAAAAAAAAAGAAAAAAGAAAAAAAAAAGAAAAAAAAAAGCCCAAATTAAGGTTGTTATGTAACAGACAAGGAAATCTTTGCCTTCAGGATTTTGTGTTACCAGCAATGAGCAACACGAGAATGCAACAATAGCTTGGACAAAAAGGCACTCAACAAAGACAAACTGAAAAGAAGGAAAAATCAAGCAGCCTGGTAAGGTGTTTAACTTCCCAACTTCCGTCCTTTTCACTTCCAAAGCACTTACGTGCACAGCTGGGCTGAGAAATAGCTCCCATGGTCAGAGGGAGCAGGTGGAGGAGAGGCACAAGCCAGCACTGCAGGACAGCAGTGGTCCTCATCACCTCCAGAAGAGCTGGTCTTCATCTCCCACTGCCTCTCTCAGTCCTGGGTAAAGCTGGGCAAAGACTGCCCCTCCTTCCCCATGAAAATACTGCAGGATTCTCAGTTTTACCCCATTCCACCCTAAGCCAAGAGGTGCTGATGGAGGAAGGCACTGGGGATGCCGTGCTCCCTTTACACTCCATCTTTTGGATTGTTTAAGAATCTCAGATTCTTTCTGAGAAAAGTTTCTAAGTGTCCCCTCCTCAGAAATATGGAGAAAAAGTGTGCTGGGGGGTCTCCAGAGCTGTAGCATGCCAGGGAGCACCAGTTAACACACATTAAAAGTATTAGCACAGAAACTTTGGAAATGTCTCTTCCCCTCCCTCTGTATCCTCCTAGGAGGTTTTGTGATTTCTGATGCTGAAGCTCGAAGCTGCTCTGCTTTCCAACAGGCTCCAAGGGAAGCCTGTGCCACCCTACAACCAGATCCCTGTGCTGTGGACCCCTTGTGGTGTACATGTGTGGGTCTGCGAGCTCCAGGTCAGTGGGTTTGGGGAGGGGAGAGCTCCTGGTACCCAGCATCAGCTGCTTGCTGCATCTGTACCCAAGCTGGGACAGGAACCTGGGCTTGCAGGCTTCAGGGGGCTGCCAAAGCCCCTCTCACCCTGGTTATCAGGATCCTATTGTTTCAGATGGGAAAATGCCACTAGGCCCCCAGATCCCAGCCCTAAATCGGTACCTGTGCTGAGATGGTGGTGGAGGATGGCGGGGGGTTGTGAGTCGCATGTTTCAGTGCCCATCTCCTCCCTTAGAGGATATATATAAATAAGTCTCGTGGGGGTATAATGCACCACAGCACTTTAATGCTGCTGGGGATTAACTGAATTACAACGCTATTTGGCTGGCCACTGTGCAGAGCCAAGCTGGTAGGGCAGGATTCAAACCCTTCCCCTAACTCAGCGCAGACTTTCTTCTGGCTTTAGAAAACACCTGGAACACAGACTGCCCCAATAAACCACGTTGTAAACCTTTTTAAGTGTAAGATTAAACTGCTTATGCCCTCCTTCACGTATGCATCATCTCATAACTTAATTAATTCCTTTAAGTCCTGTGGGGACGACTGGCCATGGCTGCACTGCAAGCCTGTGCTGTGCAGGATGGATGGGGGCTCCCCTGCCCTCTGCTGCTCACCAGGCACTTCTCCTTGATGCCAAATCCCTTGGTGCATGCTCATGGTGTCCTTGGTGGGAGCTGGATGCCACCACACTTCCTGAGCACCCCCCTGGGCAGCAGGGGTCCTGCTGTTCACGTCCCTCTGGGCTTTCACCCAAGTCAGCCCGGAGCCCCCTCACTGGGGCACTGCAGAAATCCAGGATAAGGTGATCCCTTCACAAAGAGCACAGCTCTGGGGTAAGCACAAACATTTAAGCCTTGAAGGGAACGGAGAGGAATGACATTGCTCCCGGCCCTCGTTTCCTAGCAGGCTCGTATTCATCGACCACAAACCTTAATACAGTTTTCACTCCACTTGTCAATTGTTAAGACAGATTTGGGGGCTGTCAACAAAATGTTACAGACGAAATGACCCGGCTAGAAATAACAGACTCTGAAACACCAAAGAAGTCATAATACTGCAAGCCACCACGGAGGGATAGGTCCAACCCCAGGGTGGAAGCAGGGTCACCTGGCTGGTCTGTGACACCAAATTTTGGACAAAACACCTTGTCCACTGGAGGTGACCCCTCTCCATGGCCAGGGAGGAGAAGATGGGGTGGCTGCTTCATGTGGAGGTGGCTCCCTTGGTTTTGATTTTTGATTTTTCCAACCAAGGTTTCCTGTCAATTTGTCCCACCTGCCTGCTTTCAAGAGCCACCAAAACAGTACTGAGGCTGCTCATCTCTCTGCTGGGCTTTGAGTCCCAGCAGTGAAGAGCTTGGCCACGGGGATTTTAATGTGCTGAAAAGCCCCATGTGTTTAACAGTTGATGCTGAAGCATCAACTTTTCCTGGCAAAATGCTGCAGGTTCTGCTGGAGTGAATCTGCAACTTGGGAGGACGTGAACAGATAAATTCAGGTCCTGTCCTAGTTACCAGGGGAGAGACCAATGGACACCCCTCTGTGTGCTTGTGGGGTGTCTGATCCGACAGACACTGTAATGTCACCTTCAATAACCATTTGCTGCTTAGATTTTTGTTTTCCTCATAATTAAAATTAGAGATGAAAGTAGAGGGAGAGTCACATAAAAGGGGTCAAGTACAGAAGCATTCATTTACCAAATCTCTCCGTGCACTCGGGAAGGCGGGTCTGTCTCTCTGCAAAGTGCTTTACCCATCTGGGCAGGCAGATCCCTTTAAGATAATGACAGGGCTGCGGGATTTTTAAGCAGCTCATGTTAGCGGTGGCCGAGGATGTGATGACACCAGAGGCGAGCCTGCACTCCAGCATCCCCTCACAGTGCCTGTCGGCCGGTAACACTCACTGGAAATCCTCCCCAAGCTGCTGTTGTGCTGGAAACCACCTCTCCCTGCCTGAGCCTGCAGATATAACTCTGGAAATCTGCTTTTTAGAGAGCGCTGCTGTTTGCACCAGGGGGATGCTGCTCCGAGGCGGGGGTTACCCCACCAGCAGACTTCCCGGCACAGAAAAGCAGAGCCAGAGATGAGTTTTCCTGAATTAAATCCCCTCCTGAGTTTGCATCAGCTGCTCTGCAAGTCAGGTCTGCTTGCAGCAAGAGAGGATTCACTTTGGTGAAGTTGTTTCTTTGCTACCATCATAAAGTAATTCAAGCCTCCCAGTCACTTTCTCCCCCCCCCGCTACATGAAAGCCTCAGTGTTCTGGCATAGGCAGAGCTGTTGACACTTTGTCAGTAAAAATCCAGAACCGTGCTAGTGAGAGAAATGTTTTATGGGGGCTATAAATAGTTTTGCATTAAGGCAAATGTATTCTCCCACCTTAAAATAGCTTCACCTTGCAAAGGACGAAGGAGGCTTTCAACACCACAGGAATGCCTTTAGCCTCCCCTCGGCAGCAAAAACAGCTTTTTTTCGCCCCAAAAGTGAGCACGACCAACAGCCAGAGACCCCTGGGCTGTGTGTGGGGGGCCTCTTGCCCTGCTCCCTGCTGCTAACCAGCAGCACATTGTCACACCACCAGCAGCACTGGCTGTGCCAGAGCCCTTTTAACAAAAAAAATGCTAATTCATCAAACTAACTTTTTTTTTTTTTTCTCTCTCTTTTTTTCCCAAAGGCTCGCAACATGCCTGCTTGTCACAGGGATGAAAGGAACAGGGAAACTTTGGTGATTTGGGGAGCAGCGACTTCCCGCGACCGCTTTGAGCAGCGGGATGCTCTCCCTTCCCTCTGAAGTGGCTCCTGCAGCAAGGACAATGCAAACACCCCCTCCGCCAGGGCTGCGAGGTGGTAACAGCGCTCTCCCTCTGCTGCCGGAGCATCATTTCAATCCCCGGGTAGAGAAACGCCGGCGGGAGGGGGGTTGGGGATTAGGGAGAGAAGAAATCGGGAAGAGGGGAAAAAAAACCATCTTTGGCTCACCTTCAGGCTGTGCGTTGGGTTGACGACGCAGACAAGTTGCCCGGCGGCCGAGAAAACCCTCTTCGCCTTGTAGTGCTGAAACCGCAGGTGGATGAGATCTAAGACAGCCCCAAAGCACTGGGTGAAGAAAAGCATCACAACTTTGGTCGTTGCTGCTGCCGGCGGCGGGCAGGGGAAGCGGCCAGGCAGCCCCTGAAGTCCTTGAGGCCGGGGAGGGAGTGCGGTGGGCGAGCGCTGCGCTCCGGCACGGCTCAGCGTGCCTTCATATTCATCATCAAAACAAGACGGGAAGAGGCTTGCAGCAGCGGGGCGGCCAATGGAAAGGACAGGAATGTTATCCTTGAGGTCCGGAGACAGCCAATAACGAATGCCTCCCCTCCAGAAAGTCCCTGATGAATTGAGCCTGGCGGAGAATGTATTATTGAACATTACCATACATCAGCACATCGCATTTATCTTGCGATTACAGCCGGGCGTACGGGAGGCTGGGGAGATAGGCAGGCGAAATTGATTGCTTAACGTCTCCATTTATTAATTGGCTTCATTTAGCAGCAAGCGCCCTCATGCCGGAGCTAAATGGAAGGGGTAGGGAAGAAGCCCACCAGCGAAACTGTTGGAAAGTAGCGAAATGAGATGGAGCAGGCTACATTTTGCAGCCCGGGAAGAAAATCAAATATGCAGAGAGAGTTGCAGCTCCTTGCAGGGGTTAAGCAGAAGTAGAGCTCGCTATATAAATAGATTCACGCCTGTGCATTTGCAGGCTTCGCTTTGGGTTTTTATCACTCTGATGCTTTCTAAATGTTGCATTCTGCTGCTTCATAACGGAGACATTCCCAGCACGCAGACAATGCGCCCCCCCACCCCCCCCAAAAAAAGAGTATAGGAGACATCAGGTCTGGGGTCTGGTGCAACTTGGTATAACTCCATGCCAAGTCAGCAACATTCCCCTTGATTTACACCGGCTGCATCGGGTCCGCTGGACACCGAACGCGATTGCTGGATGCTGGAACTGCAAGAGCGTGGAAAGGCACGGAGCTGGCTTCTCAAAATAATGAAATGCATGATGCATGAGGGCACACGCACGGAGAGGGACTTGCACAGGGGGACAAGTGGCTTCTGGATCAACAGAATAATTAAACATGCTGAAGGCTTTCGCTTGTCATTCATCTGCGTATCAGCGGCTGGGAAATGACTAATTAGCCATTGGGTTGTCCTAGGTATTAAAAAAAATATATAAATTAGGGAAGGACAAGGAAAATGAGATGCTTTTGCGGATTGTTACCAGCGTGTGTCTGTGTTGGTGGGCAGGGATCCTTTTCAAGGCACTGGGTCTCGTTAAACAGGGTTCCTCATGACCAGGTTTTCCAGGAGGCAAAAGCACTGAAGCAGGCAAGGGAATCAGAAAGCACATTTATTTCATGGGACAATCCTGTGTGATGTGTTGTTCTGCTTGTTAATAAATCAAAGAGGGCTAATTTAATTAGCTCTCTGCCAGAACTTCCTATTAGGGTGCTATTTAGGATTGCTAGCTAAGTACTCAGATGGCTTATTTAGCCTTTGTAATCCTTTCCCCCCTCTTCAAAGCAGCTAAAAGTAGTTTTCCTTTCTTCTTTTGCCTCTCTTTAAACATGATCCTGCTCTGGGGGTGAGGTTTCTGCTTAGGACGGAGCAGCCCACGTACAGCACCAGTCTCAGCCTGGAACCGGATTGTCACCACTGCAAGCTCCTAAATCAATACTGCAATACCAGCTCTGCCAGACTGCAGAGAGCCCGGGCGTAAAAACAATAAAATAACATAAAAAGAAGAAAGAAGGGGCTTGGGCAGATAAATAAGTGGGATTTTGCAAATAGCGGAACAGCTGACGACACAACCTCCCCCCAAAAGCATTAAAGATGGGAGGAATATGGATCTCGCAGCTCTTAGCATTCACTTGTAGATGAGGAGATAATTTTTGCAGCGTTGGAAGAGATTTGGAGAATATTTTCAGGCAGGCTTACGGACAAGCGAGCGAATTGATTTGCTTAAATGTATCCTCTCCTCTGTTCCCAAAGTAACTGCAGGCATCCGACTGTTTATTATTTATTTATTGCCAGTCTGTAGCTGGTGGCTGCACAAACACTTCAAACCAGTAAAATTCAGCCTACAAATCATAGGCGCAAGCACTCTGCCGCTCAAGTCCTGAATGAGCAAAAGGTGCTCTGCATTTCTGGTCATTGTCGCCACTGGGAGGGTTTGCAAAAAAAATTAAAAATTAAATAAATAAATAAATAAATAAGAGATGTTTTTATTGTAAAGAAGACACCAAGATATTGGCTGCATTAGGGTGCATCTTCAGACATCCTAAAGAAGAAGACATCCTAGAAGAAGACTTCCTGCTCTCACCCAGAGCCTCAGAGACTTGGAGGTCAGAGGCTGGAGGCTACGTCTGCTGGGCTGGGTGGTGCTGTGAAGGTCGTGGGGAGGCACCCGGCCATCCTGGTTCTCTGCATGGTGAATGCAGGTCCTTCTTCTGCTTGTACATGAAGGAACTGCCCAGCAGCTCTCAGCCAGCATAACTCCATCAGTTTGAGTCAGGCTGGTGGAGGCAAGGTCTGCTGCCCTACCTGGCCTCAAATCAGGTCTGGGACCAGGTCAGCTTTATTTATCTGCATTGGTGTACCCAGAGAGAGGAAGAACAAGTCCACGTGCTGGAGTTAAACTCCTGTTTAACTGCTTACTGCTCATTTCTGGAGATTATAGTCTTTATTTCCAAGGGCATTCATTCTGTAATACGAGTTGCATGGCACAGCAAAAGACCCTTGGCTAAATCCTTGCTACGACCCAGATTTGCCAAATTAGCAGCTCCAGGGACATCATCATAATGGATTATAATCCTCCAACAGTTCAACTACTGGTGTGGCTGCATACTGTTAACATATTCATAGGACCAACCAGACATAAAAAACTTGTGGATCTCAAAAGTCAGGGTTAAAATTTTTCATTCACTGAGACACCAGAAAAAAAATAATAAAGAGAGAGAGAGAAAATAAAAAAGAAACATGAGATGGAGATGTGCCCAGGGATACAGCAGCTAGCTTTCCACTTTGCCAATTTGCTTTTGGTTGGAGCTGCCACGATGGAAGGGAACCACCTATAGGAAACTGCAGGTGTCCAGGAATCACGCAAATTCTCAGGCCAAGAGTCCAGGAGACACAAAACTGAACATTAAGTTGGTTTCAGTCTGATGTCTATTTTTTTGGCTGGGCACTTCTGGATAGTGACCTTCCTACAATCTGTTCTTGCTCCCTTCCTGCCCCACCAGACACTGCGGCCACAGTGAACCCAAATTCCTTCCCATCCCTGTACCTGTGCAAGACACTGACATCCACGGGATGATCCCTATTACACCCTCAGCCCTGCCTGTTAGGGATGCTAGCTGGCTATTTAAAAAAGCCCTTGGCCACTTCTAGCCAAGTCCATTTTCCACCTGGCAAGGAGCTGCAGAAGCAGGATTCTGGCCACTTTGGCACCTCTCCTGTAAGTGTCTACATCTGAGCGCGTCACCCCAGCTCCCTTTATAGTTTTGGATGAATGGGGCACGCTGAGGATGGATTTCCCCTGAGCTGGCCAGGACATCAGGCAGCATTCCTCATCCTTTGGATGCAAACTTACTGTATGAAGCTCCATCTGCTCTCCTGGGTCTCACGGCAGGTTTTGAGGAGAGGTGTTTGCACTGCTAGATAATATTTTCCTCTGCTGTCCACCCAGCATTTTAAGCAGGAATTTAAGAAATGTCCCACTGGCTCAGGGCAATGGTCCCTCCTGCCCAGTGCTTTGTCCCCAGCAGTGACTGCAGGAGGTGGCATTTTGGTTTGGCACATAAGCCAGGGCCACCACCTGCCTGGTATTTCCCCAGTGTTTAATGCTGTTGAATTGGTGCCTTGGAAGGTACATCATCAGCAAAGCAGAACCAATTTTTAAAACTGGAAGGAGTGCTGTAGCCCTCCAACGTGTGTCCCCTGTAAAGCATTTGTCACTTCATGTGACTGCTGTGCAGGCCCATCTCTGCCACACAGCCTAGGTTTGAAATTTCCTGTGAAGGAGACCCACAGCACCTCCTGGCAGGTTCTTCCAAAGGTGATTTATCTTCACCACTAACAATTTGCATCCTAACTCCGGTTTGAATTATTTTCCTGCATAAGCTTCTATAATATATAAAAAGTCTTTGTGCTTTCTCTTGCTGGGCTAAGGCAGTCTCTGGCACCACACACCCTCATGTGAAGGTGCAGCTTTTGCCTGAGATGTCCTTGAACAAACCAAAAGGTGGATAGTGTTTCCCTTACAAAGCACCCCCAACCTGAGATCAGATCGCTCTCACAGCTTCTCTATGCATTTTCTCTGCATATCACTGCTTCCTGAGCCTGACCCGCTCCTCCCAGCTGATGCATGCAGAAGTAAAATGGCCCATCCAGCTCAGGGCTTTGTGGCTATGGGTGCAAAGTCCTGCTCCCATGGATCCCATTCCCACACCTCCCCTTGGCTTCACCCCACTCACTTCAGCACAACCACGTGAGAGGCAGAGCTGCCTGCCTGAGGACAACTGAAAACCTCCCTGGAAAATGCCCAAATTGGTTATTCCCTCCTCTCACCTTCCCTGGTATCTACAGTGATGAGAGGTGGAAAAGAACATCAACAAATTTATTAAATTTATTTTATTATTCTTTTAAAAAATTACTTGTTTTTTCGTGCTTTTTTTTTTTTTTTTTTTTTTTTTTTTTTTTTTCTTTTCCCAAAGCAAAGTGTTGTCCAAATCTGTTGGCTTTACCAAAATACCTTATTAGCAGTGAATTCTTTTACCAAATACGTGTTCAAAAATCCATTTAGGCTTTATACAAAGATATAAAGAGTAACTGCACTGGAATTGCAGGGATGCTTTCACGAAATCACAGAAAGGTTGAGGTTGGCAGGGATCTCTGCAGGTCATCTGGCCAAACCCCCTGCTCCAGCAGGGACGCCTAGAGAACTTGCCAAGTTTCAATCAGAAGGTGATCTTAAACTTCGCAACAATTTTCATTTTCTCAAAAGGCCATTTTTTACAGGGCAAGAAGTATCAGAAGCGGTCCTTAATGCAGTTAAATAACATGCCAATTAAAATGCCCGTGATAAATGCCACAGATAATTTTACAGATCTAGGGAGGAAACTGAACCTGGTGAACTGGAACTGATTTCACAGTGCTGAGGCTCTTTGTGACCTTTCTTTTCCCCTTCAGCCACATGCGGTCATCACTCTCAGATGTGTCCTTCCCGCACCCCATGGATGCTTGCAGAGCATGGTCAGTGTACAGCTGCTGAGCTGGGCTTTCCACGCTAATCTTCCTTCTGCAGAAGCCTACATTTCCCTCTGGCTCTGAAGGACAATAATATGGCAAGAGGCTTTTTTTTATGGTTCCTTTCAAAGACATCCTTCTTACATTATTATTAGTCGTACATGAGTTTTCTAGTCGCCGGGTCAAGAGGGGAGTTCTTAATTTCTCCCTGGGGGACATCTGCTGCCTGGGGAAGGAGGTTGCTGCCGCCACCTTCTTAATTTTTCCCTTCACACTGCAGCAGTTGGTATGTTCTCCTTGCCTCTCGTTGCTTATTAGCAGGGGAGTTTATGGCAATATCTCATGTCACTTCTCTCTGCAAATGCTATACCCAAGAGAGCATCTCCTTCAGCTCTCACCAGCAAGCCAGCAGCTCAATAAAG